TTTCCCTTCTCTATCTGACGTTAAGTACACTTGTGAGCGATGAGGAATAAAAATATCACTGTCTCTGCCCTTGGATTCACATTGCATATGGCCACTCCAAAGGGACAGCTATCCTTACTTTTCTTAACATTGCCCCCTACCCTTGTCCTCTAACCTCAGAACCCCAGACACACCTCTGGAACCATAGGTGCTTCCTAACCACTCTTCCCCCACAACCAGGGTTTCCCCTACAGCCCCAGCTGGCGTGGCCAGGCCCCAAGTGTAGGATGGGGCTCCCCCTACGAGGGCCGGTGGCAGCCAGAACTGATACAGCCCCCCTGGTCTGGGGCCAGGACGACAGGTAACTCTGGGGTAATAGGTCAGGTCCCCCTGCGATATGGCTAGAGAGAGAGAGAGACAGGAACACCTTTGGGAGTCACTGAGGAGAGTGACATTGGGAAGGAAGGCCAGGGAACTAGGAATTGGGCTCTTGAGGGGCTGGGTAGCTGAGGAAGTGGGGTGGAAAGACTGTTTCCTGGGAGAAGCTGGGAGGCAATGTCTGGATCTCCCCAGCAGCTCTAACCTCTTGTGTCTCTGTCCTCCAGCTGAGGAGGGTGGGAGTATCTGGAGCCATGGCTGGTGCCTCAGTGAAAGTGGCAGTGAGGGTTCGGCCCTTCAACGCCCGTGAGACCAGCCAGGATGCCAAATGTGTGGTCAGCATGCAGGGCAGCACAACCTGTGAGTGAGTCCCAAGGGCCTGGCTGGGCACAGGCTAGGCCGGCCAGGTCCACCACACAGGCCAGTCTTGCTGGGCTGAATCAAGAGGAGGGCTGTGCCGGGCACAGAGCAGGTGCTAGATGTAAGGGCGGGGGTTGGGGTAGGCTGGCCTTTCTATGCTCCCAGTCCCTGGGAGGGGGAATGTTGGCCTGGAGCCTTCCATTGCCCAATCCAAGGAGGCAGCCCAGTGGGGGGCGGATCCTAGGAAGCCAAAATTAGCTTTGGTGGCAGGAGGGGGTGGGGAGTATTAAAAGGGAGAGATGAACTAGAACAGAGGAGGGGAGTGGGATGCCTGGATTTGGGGCTTGTGGGTAGTGGGCAGAGGTTGGGAGTACCTGAATTTGGCCTGCCTTCCTTTGCCCTCTCCTTCTCCCTCAGCCATCATCAATCCCAAACAGAGCAAGGATGCCCCTAAAAGCTTCACTTTCGACTACTCCTACTGGTCACATACTTCGGTGAGGTTGTTGGGCTGGGAAAGAGATAAGCAATGAGGGATAGGGGATTTAGGTCCTGGGACGGGGCACTGCTGGGAAATAGGACCTCTAGAGGATTTGTTGGAACTGGGGTGGGCAGGACCTTTAGGTTGTTATTGGGACCAGAAACGGGGAGAGAGGACCTGTGGGCTAGTAAGGATCAGCAGGAGACTGGATAAGACCCTCAGGGATGATTAGGACTGTAAGGGGGTGGGAGGACACACAGGATCTATGGGTAATCACTGACAATGGGGGAAAGACTCCTGAGACCTAGACACTAAGGACAAAGTCATCTAGGGCTCCTGTTTTTCTCTACCCCCTTTTCACCCAGGCTGAGGACCCCCAGTTTGCATCTCAGGAACAGGTATATCGGGACATTGGAGAAGAGATGCTCCTCCATGCTTTTGAAGGCTACAACGTGTGCATTTTTGCCTATGGACAGACCGGGGCTGGGAAATCCTACACTATGATGGGGCGACAGGAGCCAGGGCAGCAAGGCATTGTGCCCCAGGTACACACTGGGACCTGGCAGGGCAACCAGGGCAGAGGCATCATTAGCTGCTCATAGGCCAGGGAGTCTATGGATTGTGGAGCAGAGAGCTGACTCTCTGAGGCCCTTGGTGACAAGGAATGTGATGTGGGATAGGGGTTGGCTGCAACCTAGACATCCAGGTCCCTTTGGGGAGAGAGTCTTTGCCCCCATCAGAAGCAACAAGGCTCAATGAGAAGAGCCAAAACTTTGGTATCAGAGATCCCTGGCTTTAAACCTTGGTTCTATGGCTTTGAACATTGCTTCTACCACTTACTACTTACTTCGTCTCATAATCACTTGTGAGTGTACTTCCCCAGGCTTGTGTACTATAGCTAAGGTGGTGATTATAGAAGCCAGTTGTGAATAACTGAGAGTTGGCTATAATTCTTCCTAGCTGTGCAGCGTAGTGGCAATGTACACAGGCTCTGGAGTTGAGATGCTTGGGTTTGCTTCCTGGCTCACTGAATACAAGAATGTGACCCTGGGCAAGTGTGAACCTCTCTGAGGTTGCTGTCTCTTCTGTAAAATGGGAATGACCCCTTCCTCAGGGCTGAGGTTAGGGTTCAACAGGACCATTTGGGACAGGGCCTACCCTGGTGCTGGGTGCCACAGATACACTATGAACAGCAGCTTCTCCGTGTCCCCTTTAGCTCTGCGAGGACCTCTTCTCTCGTGTTAGTAAGAATCAGAGCTCTCAGCTTTCCTATTCTGTGGAGGTAAGTCCATCTCTAGGTGGAGTATGGGGAAGAGGTACAGTGTTTTTGGGTAGGGATGGGGAGAGCAGAATGATTAAGATCAAGGACAGTTTGCAGAGTCAGACAGCTTGGGATCCACTCTACCAGTTATTAACTGTAGCTTTGGGCAAATGATTTCATCTCTCAGCTACTGAGTATGTTTATTAGTGAAATAGTAATGATGGGATCCCTGTCCTAGGGTTGTTGGAAGGGTTAGTGAGCTCTCATATGTAAAGTGCTTAACACCATGCCTAGCGTCTAGTACATTAGCTGCAATCACCTGTATCATACTTAGTGGAGTGTAGATTAAGTTTCATCATCAGTATTTTCTATCTTGTTACTTCTTTGCTTCTTCCACTCAGGTAAGCTATATGGAGATCTATTGTGAGCGGGTACGAGACCTCTTGAACCCCAAGAGTCGGGGTTCTTTGCGGGTCCGGGAGCACCCCATCCTGGGCCCCTACGTGCAGGACCTGTCTAAATTGGCTGTGACCTCCTACGCAGACATTGCTGACCTTATGGACTGTGGAAATAAGGCGCGGTGAGGCTGGCCGACAGAGTGGAGGGAAAGGGAGCCAGGATTAGGAAGATGAGAGGCATGACCCAGTGACCACTCCCTTTCCCCCAGGACTGTGGCTGCCACCAACATGAATGAGACCAGTAGCCGTTCCCATGCCGTCTTCACTATTGTCTTCACACAGCGCTGCCATGACCAGCTCACTGGGCTGGACTCAGAGAAGGTAGGACACCCCCCCACACCTGTTAACAGAGACGATGATGTCATGAAAGGGCCTTGCATCCTCTTCCCTGCCCACACTTGGTTCAGGTGCCTTTGTGAGGCTTCCATATCCCTCTCTCCTTCCCCTGTCAGATCAGTGATACCATCTTCTGTTTGTTTGTGTGTCCTTCTTACTAGATTTCTCAGGGCAAGGCTTGAATCTCATTGTGTCCTTTGTCTTGGTACACAGTGGGCATGTAAATATCTATAAACGAATAAATGAAGCAATGGATGACTACCCAGCCAGCCCCTCTTTGTTGTCTTCACAAATTCCATTTCCTCCTGTCCTCTTCTCTTTTTTCTTCCTGGCTTTCTCCATCCCTTGACAACTGCCCAATTCCCTTGCTGGTTGTTCCACTGATTTGTCTGCCCAACCCCACTGACCCCAGTCACGTCCTGCCTCTTTCTTCTGACCCAGGTTAGTAAGATCAGTTTGGTGGACCTTGCTGGGAGTGAGCGGGCTGACTCTTCAGGGGCCCGGGGCATGCGCTTGAAGGTGAGGAGGCTTAGAAGGGATGGAAAGGGGCAGTGTTGGGGGCTATGTGCAGTGGTCTCTAACCCTAACCTGAGACTCTGGCTGTGGTGAAAGGAAGGGGAAGTGGATTGGAGAGGGAGAGTAGAGCCTCATTGCCCACATTCCTCATCCTTTTCCAGGAAGGTGCCAACATCAATAAGTCCTTGACTACTCTAGGGAAGGTGATCTCTGCCCTTGCGGATATGGTAAGACCTTGTGGTGGGAAGATAAGAGGCTCTGGGAAAGGGGACATGGGGTGGCCCACTCTGACCCCTTACCGCTTCCATCCCCTAGCAATCAAAGAAGCGGAAGTCGGATTTTATCCCTTACAGGGACTCTGTGCTCACCTGGCTGCTCAAGGAGAATTTGGGTGAGGGGCTCCCCTCTTTTTCTCTTTCTTTGCCAACCCTGCCACTATCCTACTAACCCACCTTGATAAGTCAGACAAATCCCCTTACCATCCCTAGAATCTCAGTTGTATCATTGACTTTCCCCTGACCTGAGGAACATGATTCGAAGATGTCCTGATGCTGAGATCAAGGCTACATCCTGCCTGCCAAGCCAGGAGCCTCACCGAACTGGCTACCCATAACCCCTCTCTGACTCCACACCCACTACTGACTTTGTCTTCCTCCCACTGATCTCTCAATATCCCACAGATGTCTGATGTCTCCCCGACCTCACCCATGCTCCCTCTGACTACTGGATTTCATGGTTAGCTCCACAACTCTTAGCTTCCCTCCTGTATTGGAAAATGACCTTTCAGACCCCTACCTGGACCCCCCACCGTCCGACCCAATCTGACTTTTCTTAAGACCCAGCCTAACTCAAGCTTTCTTCTCATCTCCATACATAGGTGGGAACTCACGCACAGCGATGATTGCAGCTTTGAGCCCTGCGGACATCAATTACGAGGAGACTCTTAGCACCCTCAGGTGGGTCTCTGGCAGGGTGGGGCAGCACATGAAAAGTGCCAGGGGACTTCAGAGGCTGGTAGCTCAGAACCCTGCCCGTGAGACAAGGTTGATCCTTAGCTGTACCCCAATATTTTAAAACCTGGGATAGA